TAGAAATATCCCATCTCCTAGAACTGGAAGGGACCTTGAAAGGTCATCAAGTCCAGCCCCCTGCCTTCACTAGCAGGACCAAGTACTGATTTTGCCCCAAATCCCCAAGTGGCCCCCTCAAGGATTGAACTCACAACCCTGGGTTTAGCAGGCCAATGCTCAAACCACTGAACTATCCCTCCCCCCTAGAATGAGGATGAACCAGTGTGACAGTAAGATACCTTCCCAAGGATCTGTGGATACAATTTTCAAAAGTACCCAAGTCCATCTTCAAAAGTGACATAGATGTATAAGTTCCAGTGATTTTTCAATGTGATAAGTTCCTAATTGCTGACTACTTTGAAAATGGGACATGCTCCAAAGTCACTCAGATACTTTTGAAAATGTTACTCGGTATCTATTGGGGAATGTCTCTTGCAGAGCCTCTGCTTTACAAATATTCACATTAACTGACTGGGTCTCTCACACACATTCACATTGGACTTTTCTCCGACAATGCCTTGAAAGTCATTGTACAGTGTAAAATGCTGGAAAACATTTAGGCTTGAGTCACCACTGCACTAATTCAATTTCATGTCCGCATACCTCCCTTGAAACTTATCTTGCAGTGAATCAGGACCCTTGTTTTATTTATGGTGAGCAACACATATTTAGGCCCGCAAAGAGTTATGCTTGTGTTTAACTTCAAGCCCACGGGTGAGCTTGTTGATGCCAATGAGTCTACTCACATGCTTACAGTTAAGCATGTGCATAAGTTTTTGTAGAATCAGGGCCTTAGAGTAGCTAGGACTGAAACACAAACATTTTCTTTACCTGCATTTAAATAATTCAATGAGTTGCGCTGTCTCACACCAGTTTCAAGTTGGTGAAATTCCACTGACTTAATTAGAGGTACACCTGATTTACACCCAGGTGTGAATGACAATGGGACTATGTACAGTGTATTAATTCTGTTTGAGATTATGAAATCTTTGTGTATCTGTGTCACACTGCAAACTCCATTTTGAATGTGGGGCTTTGTGCTGTCTCTGATGTCCTTTTACCTCCAGATTGGACTGAAATTCCAAGGGATGGTGGCACAGGGCTAACAGAGCAGGGCAAATGGCAGCCTAGGGGCTGCATCTGCCCTGCCATATCATTTTATTTGGCCTACCACAGCCCAGCTTGGGGCAAGCAACCCAGCAGCTCCAGGACCAGAGAAGGGGTGGGGTGAGCTGTCGCGGAGGGAGGACTGCATATAGAGATGTGTGTGTGTCTGTGGTGAGAGACAAAAGGCCAGAGCAGGGAGCCAGGCCCAGCTCCACAGGACAGGAGCTACCACTGCGGGGTAAGCACACTCACTTTCCAGCCCTCCCGGAGCCTACCACCCCCTGGGGACAGGACCTGATCCTCCCCCATGTCACATCCCCAGGGCAGGATCCGACCCCCACTCCTGCATGTCATGTTCCCCAGGGGCAGGAAACGACACCCCCCGCATCACACACACCCAGCCCACCAAAGGCTTTTAGTGTTTTTTGTGACCCTCTATTACCTTAAAGTTGCTCATCCCTGCAACACAGGGTACTTCAACTGTGATGGTCCTCTATTCAAATACAAGCATCCCGGACAAAGAGCTGGCTACTGCCCAGAAGAACCAGTCTGCCCAGGTGGGCTGGTAACTAAGCAATGGATCAGCTGGTGAGGGACTTTGATCACCAGAAGAGGCTGATCAAGGGTCACCTGACAAAAGGGATGGGAGATTATAAAAGAGAGGCTCTTTCAGCAGCCATTTTGAGAAGAAAGCAGAAGCAGTTGAAGTTGAAGCTAGGGCTGGAGAGTGAAAGGTCACTAACTGCAGAGGACAGAGTGCGTGAGAAAGTCCATGACTCTGAAGAGAAGTCATATGCAAGAGGGGGATTTAGGACTCCACAGAGGATTCTGCCATAAGCCCAAAGATGTCTCTAGAGTGATGAGGAAACTGAGGCAGGAAATGTGTTTAGGTGTGTTTATTATTTTTGTCTAGATCTGTGTATTTCTCATGTTACCTAAGTACAAGAGTAACTTGTTTTAGAATCCCGTTCAAAGTCTGTGTGCATGTGTCAGGCTTTCACTGTTGCACAGCCCTGAAGAGTTAAACTGTAAACACAGATTGCCCACATGGATGAGGTTCTGGGAGAGGGTGTTCTTAAAGTCTGTGGGGGGGGGGACGGGACTCTGTGAGGTCAGCACATAGCGCAGAGGCTGGGGG